TGGAGCCATATCAGCTGTACTGTTCCCTATATGAAGAGCCAGGTCCCAGAACACAGGGGGCAGGCAGTGATGATTTTCCGGGTATAAGTGCTAAGATTTACTAGTGTCTTCTGAGTTATGATTGGTGCATTCTTGGTTTAGTAAAAAGAGCAACTAGGATTTTCTAGCAACTGGGTTCTAGTCCCAACTCTGACATTAACTAATGATAATAATTGCAGTAGCTATTGTTTACTGGGCATTTTCTATGTGCCCTGTGCCTTCAATGTATTAAATGTTTTATACCTATTACCTCATTTAATCTTTGTAACAACCACCAGATACCATTGTTATTCCTGGTTGACTGATGAGGAAAATGAGCCAGAAGAAATAAGTAACATGACAAAGATCATGGCTACTAAGTGGCACAATCTGGGTCTGTTAGACTCCAAAGCCCATGCTTTTTACCACTGTGCTTATCTGATGTAAAGTTGTCACCTTAGTCCTGGCACGTGTCCTTTCATATCATAATAGTGATGATAGCTTATACCAAAGAATATTTACTATATAGCAAAAATCATGCATTCTAAATGCATTGTATATATTACCTCATATTACCAAGAAGGTACTATTTTTATCTCCATTATACATGAGGTAACTGAGGGACACAATGGTTATATAACTTGCCCAAGGTTACCCAGATTGAATATGGAGAAGTCAAATTTTGATTTCAGGCTATCTGGATCTAGAATCCACACTCTTAATCATTATTCTAACTGTAGAAGGTGGACAGTGTAATATCTTAAGTTATCTTCACCTCCACCAATGGTTTTCTGAGTATACTGGGTAAATATTGAAGTGGGAATTCTGCAGGGATAGGGATGTGATTAAACCTTTCAACACTGGCTCCCTTCTAGTCAGATAGATGTATACTTTTAAGGGAAAGATAATTATGTCTTGTGAAAAATTTTGATGTATTGTGATTAAGGCCTAAGAAAAAGAGTCTACTGCCATGTCACCCTGAACGTACTTAATCCCATCTGATATCAGAAGCTAAGCAGGGTCGGGCCTGGTTAGTACTTGAATGGGAGACACCTATGAATACTAGGTGCTATAGGCGTTTAAAAAAAAAGGACCTACGAAAAAGAAGCGGTGCTCCCCATATTCCTTTCTCTTTTTGAAATGAAAAAGAGCGTTCTGAAAAGGATATAAATAATGGCTTAGACTCAGGCATACTTTTGATACTGTCTTTGAAGTATTCCATCCACTGGCGTATCGTGGAATCTCCCATTAGATATATGAATTTTCCTTTCAGGCATTCTTTTATTTCAACTGGAGCCAAACTACAGGAGATAGGATTCCATGTGTCTTTCCAGACATATCCACTGGGGATTGTGGATGCCATTCCAAACTTGCATTTCTTTTTCATTGGAGCCATGTTTTCTGCCAAAGAATCAGCAAGATAGGACCTTCTAAAATATCACATTATTCATCAGTATTTATTAAGAACCTACTGGCTTTTCTAAAAATACTCTTAATAGGGCATGAGAGTTGGGAAAAAGCCTTATTGAAGCATCATTCTCTTAATGGAATAATTATTTTTGAGTAAAATGATGTGAATTTTCTAAATGATACTCATTAATGTTCATTACAGAGGACTTTTTCTCCCAGAAAAAGAAAAAGGTCTTTGGGATAAAATTTAAGTATTTGTTTGTCTTCTTATGAAAGTAAAGTCCTTAATTCTTGTTTAATAATGAAAACTCAATTATTATATCATTTTAACACACTTTACTCCCAAGTTGTTACATTCTTTCATAGTGTCTTAAATGCCACCATCAAACTGTAAATCTTTTGAATTAAATGCAGGGTGAAATAAGAAATTAACGATTAGTTTGGTTTGGAACCTGGAAAGTCCACATAGATATGGCTGTAGGCTGGAATGGAGTCTTAGAGGTCCAAGATGGGCCAGGTATTAACCTATTAGGTATTGTGAAGCCTCTGGGAATCTGAAGGGCTGAGGTGGTTCTAGTGGTGAGGAGCCCTTCGTAGGCTTGGTGCAGTAATTATACAACTGTTAAAGGCAGTAGTTTAGTATTTCAACATCTGGTATGAGTGTACTTGTGTATTGTCAGTGAAAATGCCATTTCTACCTCTAGCTACATATTTACACTTCGGTGTGAACAAATTTATTAGTGATCAGCAAGCTGTTAATGCTGAATTTGCAGAGACGCAAATGCTTCTGCCTTAAATCATTTTTAGATAGAGATTTCCTGGGATATTTGAACCAAAGAAATTAAAGAGAAAATTAATAAATGTAAGTATGGGAGTGCTATTTTGTATGTTAAAATGGTGTGAAAGGTCCCAAAGATGAAGAAGGGGAAATTGTGATGAATTAACTCCTTTTTGGCAGGTTGGAAACCTGTAGGTGGTGATTCTTGGGCTGTGGGAAGTCCTGATAATGGTGGTGTAGGGAGGCAAAGACCTAAGTATAAGTTGGGAGAGAGTTTTGACATTTGAAAATTACTGTGTTAACTGAACAGGTAATGTGTTGCTTGATAAATAAATTGATGATGAGAATTATAGTTACTAAAACAGGTTTATGATATCTAGTGATTTCAATTATTTATTCACTTAGGTAACTGATATCTTGGCCCACCATAGACAAGCCCAATGATCAGAGTGCCAATAAGACTGATGATAGTGTCCAAGTCCAGCAGAAAGTAGAAACATTTCAAATGGTCTAATACTAAGCACAACCCAACAAACACAGGGAGAACTTACTGTTGCATTTGGAGACATTAATAATGTTGAAGTTTTCCATAATCTCTACACCCACATTTGACCTTAAAGACACAAATACAGAAATTAATCTGAAGGTGGACCCAAAGGTCAAGAAACAGGGTCCAAGATGGTGGTGGTGTAGGAGGACACTGAACTCACTCCCTCCTGAAATATACATCTATATAGAGAGCAATTACTCCTGAGAGATAATGGAGGGCTGAATAAATAGCTTCTGAACAACAAACAAGAGAAAGAGACTGAATAGAGAAGACTGAAAAACTGTAAGAGCTCTCCGGGTGCTGCGAAAATTCTCTGAGATCAGAGGTGCTTGTGAGTGACATTGTTTATGATCCTGTCCATCTTTATAGTGCATTGGGAGTTCTATTTGGGTGCTTTGGCCTATCTTTAAGGTCACTGCAGTGTGTCCCCAGCCACACTACTTGGAGCCCATTTTGCCTCTGGACAAATAGAGCAAGTAGCATCAACAGGGCATCACCACATGTACCGGGCCTCTCTATCTGGGGCCACTCCAGCCTTGCAAGCCAGTGCTCCAAGCACCATAAGCACCTGCCTGGCTTCAACTGCCCTGCCAAGACTACCAAGAGCACACAGCCTACACAGACATTGCTTCTACACAAGACTACTTTCTGTACAACAAAGGACAAAGATATTATTTAGAGAAGTCTGAGGAGCCACAGGAGCTCTCTGGGAAATGGAGGAATTCTCCAGGGCTGGAGGTGCTGGCGAGGACCATCATTTATGTCACCCTCTACCTCGATAGCGTAGGTGAGAGCTCTACCCAGGTGCTCTGGCCTACCTACAAGGTCGCTGCAGTGTGTTCCAAGACAATCACCCAAGCCCATATTGGATCCAAACGAAGGGAGCAAGCAGGATCAAGAGAGAATTACTATAAGCACCTGACTTCCCAGGGCTGCTCCAGCTCAGTAGGCCAGTGTCCTGGACACCATAGGCACCTCCTTGGCTCCAGCCAGCCTGTCAAAACCACCCATTACACACAGCCTACACAGAGATCATCTCTACACAAGGCCACTTTTTCAGGACTGGGTGAGATAGCTATTTTGTCTAATTCATATAAACAAATATAAACAGTCAAACAAAATGAAATGATGAAATATCTTTCAAATCAAAGAACAAGAAAAATCTCCAGAAAAATCCCCTAAGGAGACAGATAAGTAATCTGCCCGATAAAGAATTCAAAGAAATGGTCATAAAGCTACTCACTGAATTTGAGAGTGGAATAGAGAAACTTAGAGAGAACTTCAACAAAGAGTTAAAAAGTATAATTAAGAACCAAGCAGAACCGAAGAATACAATTATTAAAAATTATTTTATCTAAAATTAAGAATACATGAAAAGGATTCAACATCAGATTTGCTAATACAGAAGAGTTCAGTGAGCTGGAAGACAGACTAGTGGTAATCAACTATTTAGACAGTAAAAAGGAAAAAGAATTAACAAAAATGAAGGGACATTTGGGACAACATCAAGAGTACAAACATTTACGATATAAAGTTCCCAGAAAGAGAAGAAAGAGAGAAAGGAACATAAACTTTATTTGAAGAAATAATGGCTGGAAACTTTGCTAACCTGGAAAAGAAAACAGACATTCAGGTTCAGGAAGCACAGAAAGCAGCAAACAAGATGAACCCAAAGAGACACACACCAAGACTTACTGTAATTAAAATGATAAAAATGAAAGGTAGACTGTTTTGAAGGCAGCGAGAGTAAAATAACTAGTTACATACAATGGGAACCCCATAAGGCTATTGGCCAATTTCTCATCAACAACTTTCAGGCCCAAAGAGAGTGGCAGGACATTTTTAAAGTGCTGAAAGAAAGGAATCAACAATCTGGAATAATTTATCCAGCAAGGTTATCATTCAGAATTGAAGGAGTGCTAAAAGAGTTTCCTGGACAAGCAAAAACTAAAGGAGCTCATCTCCATTAAACCAGCTTTACAAGAAATGTTAAAGGTCTTTGTTAAGCAAAAAAAGAAAGACCATAACCAGAAATAAGAAAATATAAGAAAGGAAAAAAAATTCATAGGTAAAGCCAAATATTTAATAAATACAGTGAATTGGACATTTAAAAAGCTACTATGAAAGTCAAAGGGCAAAAGTACCAAACTCACCTCTAACTACAATAAGTGATTAGAAGATATACAAAACAAAAAGATCTAAATTTGTCATCAAACACATAAAGCATGGAGAGGGAGTAAAAAGGTAGCCTTTTTAGAACATATTTGAACTTAAATGCCTATTAGCTTAAAATAAACTGCTATAGATATAGAATGACATATATAAACCTTATGGTAACCACAAACGAAACACCTACAAAAGATACACAGAGACTAAAGAGAAAGGAACCCAAACAAAACACTAAAGAAAACAGAAAACCACAAGAGAAGAGATCAAGAGAAGAAAGGAACAGAGAAGAAACAATACAAAAATTAACAAAATGGCAATAAGTACATACTTATCAGTAATTACTTTAAATGCAAATGAATTAAAAGGCAGAAGGCAGCTGAATAGATTTAAAAACATGACCGGTCTATATACTACTAAAAAGAGACCTCAAACTGAAAGATACATACAAACTGAAAGTGAAGGGATGGCGAAAGATATTCCATGTAAATAGAAATGGAAAAAAAACTGGGGTAATGATACTCTTATCAGACAAAATAGACTTTAAAACAAAGAATGTAAAAAAAAAAAAAAAGACAAAGAAGGACATTATATAATCATAAGAGGTCAATCCAAGAAGAGGATATAACAATTGTAAGTTGTTATATCACAGGAGCACCTGAATATATAAAGCAAACATTAATGGACATAAATGGAGAAATTTATAGTAATATGAATAATAATAGTTGGGGATTTTAATATCCACTTACATTAATGGATAGATCACCCAGAGAGAAAATTAATAAGGAATTAATGGCCTTAAGTGTCACATTAGACCACCTGAATTTAATAGACATAAAAAACATCTAATCCAAAAACTGAAGAATACACATTTTTTTAAGTGCACACAGAATATTTTCCAGGAAAGATCACATATTAGGCCACTAAACAAGCCTCGATAAATTCAAGAAGATTGGTATCATATCAAGTATCTATTCTGACCATAGTGGCATGAAAGTAAAAATTAAGAGAGAAGTTTATAGCAATACAGGGCTGCCTTGGGAAATAAGAAACATTTCAAATAAACAATTTAACTTTACACCTAAAGGAACTAGAAAAGGAAGAACAAATAAAATCCAAAGTAAACAGAGGAAAATAATTAAGACAAGAGTGGAAATAAACAAAATAAAAAAATTTAAAAATGATGAAACTAAGAGCTAGTTCTTTGAAAAGATAAACAAAATTGAAAAACTTTTATCTAAACTCATCAAGAAAAAAAGGAGAACCCAAATAAGTGAAATAAATGAAAAAAGAAGCACAGAAATACAAAGAATCATTAAAGAATACTATAAACAATTATATGCCAACAAATTTGACAATCTAGAAGAAATGAATAAATTTCTAGAAACCTGTAATCTTTCAAACTGAACCAGGATGAAATAGAAAATCTAAATAGACTGATTACTAACAATGAAATTGAAGCAATAATCAAAAAACTCCCAACAAATAAAAGCCGAAGACCAGACAGCTTCACGGGTGAATTCTATACAAATATTTATAAAATTAATACCTATCGTTCTTAAACTATTTCAAAAAATTAAAGAGGAAGGAACACTTTCGAACTCATTCTACAAAGCCGGCATCACCCTGATATCAAAACAAGACAAAGACATTACAAGTATTAGCAAACCAAATTAAACTATACATTAAAAAGATTATACACTATGATTAAGTGAGATTTATCCCAGGGATACAAGAATGGTTCAACATTTGTAAATCGATCAATGTGATACATTGCATTAAGAAAATGAAGGATAAAATTCATGTGATCATCTCAATAGACATAGAAAAAGCATCTGACAAAATTTAACATTTATTTATGATAAAAGCTCTCGACAAAATAGGTATGGAAGGAACATATCTCAACATAATAAAGGCTATATATGACAAATCCACAGCTAATATACTCAATGGTGAAAAGCTAAAAGCTTTTCCTGTAAAGTCAAGAACAAGACAAGGATACCCACTATCACCACTTCTATTCAACATAGCCACAGCAATCAAACAAAATAAAGAAATAAAAGGCATCCAGATCAGAGAGAAGAAATAAAACTGTTTGCAGATGACATGATACCATATATAGAAAACTCTAAAGACCTCCAAAAACTATTAGAAGCAGTATGGTTGCAGAATACAAAATCAATATTCAGAAATTTGTTTCATTTTTATACACCAATAATAAATGATCAGAAGGAGAAGTTAAATAAACGACCTCATGTACAATTGCATCGAAAGCATAAAATAACAAAGAAATTTAATCAAAGAAGTAAAAGACCCATACTCTGAAAAGTATAAGATATTGAAGAAAGAAATTGAAAATGATACAAATAAATGGAAGGATATACTGTGTTCATGAATTGGTAGGATTAATATTGATAAAATGTTCTTACTACCTGAAGTAATATACAGATTCAATTAATACCTATTAAAATACTAAAAGCATTCTTCTCAGGACTAGAACAACTGATCCTAAAATTTATATGGACGACAAAAGACCCAAAATAACCAAAAAAATCTTGAGAAAGGACACAGTAGGAGATATCATGTGGCCTGATATCAAACTATACTATAGAGCTACAATAATCAAAACAGTATGGTACTAGCATGAACAGATATATAGATTAATAGACTAGAATAGAGAGCCCAGAAATAAATCCTCACTTATATGGTCAACTGATCTAGGACAAAAGAGGCAAGATATACAATGGGGTAAACACAGTCTCTTCAAAAAGTAGTATTGGGAAAATTGGACAAATATATGCAAAAATATGAAATTGGACCACTTTTTACACTATATACAACAATAAACTCAAAACATATTAAAGCTTAAATGTATGAACTGAAATCATAAAACTCCTAGAAGAAAACACAGCCAGTAAACTCATTGACATTGGGCTTAGTAATATCTTTTTGGATATGTCTTCTCAGGCAAGGGCAACAACTACAACAGAAATAAAGAAATAGGACTACATCAAACTGAAAAATTTTTGCACAGTGAAGGAAACCATTAACAAAATGAAAAGACAACCTACTGAATGGGAGAAGATATTTGCAAGTAATGCATCTGATAAGGGGTTGATATCTAAAATATGCAAGAAGTTCATAAAATTTAACACCAAAACACCCTAAAAATCCAATTAAAAAATAGGCAGAGGACTTGAAGAGACATTTCTCCAAAGAAGACATACACATGACCAACAGATGTATAAAAGATGCTTAATATCATCAGGGATATGAAAATTAAAACCACAATAAGATATCACCTCACACTTGTCAGAATGTCTATCATCAATAAGTCAAGAAATAAATGTTGGCGAGGATGTGGGAAAAAAGGAAATCCTTGTACGTTGTTGGTGGGATTGTAAATTGGTGGAGCCACTATGGAAAACAGTATGGAGAGTCATCAAAAAATTGAAAATAGGCTGTCATATGACTCCGCAATTCCACTTCTGGGTATGTATCTGAAGAAAACAAAACACTAATTTAAAAAGATATATGCACCCCTGTGTTCATTGTAGCATTATTTATAAGAATGAGGATATGGAAGCAACCTAGGTGTCCACTGATAGATGACTGAATAAAAAAGAAGTGATTTCTCTCTCTCTCTCTCTCTTTCTCTCTCTCTCTCTCGATATATATATATATTAAAATGATATATATATAACTCAGCAATAAACATATATAGCAATATATATATATACATAACAGCAATAAAAATGAATGAAATCTTGCCATTTGCAAGAACATGAATGGAACTAAAGAATGTTATACTAAGTAAAATAAGTCAGACAGAGAATGACAAATAACATGATTTCACTTACATATGGAATCTTAAAAAAAAAAAAATAAAACAAAACAGAAACAGACCCATAGATATAGAGAACAAGCTGATGGTTGCCAAAGTGAGGGGGTTGGGGGTATGGGTGAAATTTTAAAAAATAACAACAAAGATCAGGAAACACAAGAAGCCACATTATCCATTGCTTCAATTAATCCTTAGTGATAATAATTGACTACAGTTGGCCAGTGGCACCTCCCATGCCGATATACTCCCATAATTCTTGGCCATTTATTAAATTTCCATTTCCTTGCCTAGTCATCTAGAGGGTATGCAAGGTCATTTATTGAGACGCAGAAAAGATACATTAGAGCATATACATATACACATATGTGTATTTCTCATTCTCTTTTAATTTTATTCTGTTTATATTTTTGTTTCAATAATAAGGGTTAAATATTCAAAAAGTTTAGGGACTACTAGAAAGTGGACATTGTCCCCAAATTAATGCACAGATTTTTCTAAAATGGTTCTTCATAGAGTCTTGAAGTTGATGTACTCATAGTGTTTTGCTTTGGATCAACATATAGGCAAAATCATTACCATATTCGCCCAGGTAAGACCAAAAATAATTATTTACCTTTTAAAGAGGATCCTTTCTTGTTTTCTAAGATAAGAAACTTTCTTGTTTTTGGAATGCATGTGGGTGAGTGCAGCACAGGGTATGTGTTGAGGTTTCATGCAGTAGAAGGCTTCTTGGTCTCGAGGATCCAGGTACTTGCACAGTTCAGCACTTGAGTTTAAAACCAGGGCACAGTAAGAATTGGCAAAGGAGGTCCCACTGGCAAACTGGCCTATGAAGATCACCCTGTCATAGCCTTGGTTCCTTGCCCTCCAGAGAGCTGACACCCCTTCACTAGGGTGGATGAGCAGAATAGACAGAGTGACTTGGCCCTCCCAGAACAGAGTAAAGCTGACGAGGTAGGTGCCATTGTTGAAGTCTGTCACTTTTCCTGAAGCACCTGCCTTCAGGGCTGGGGAGGACATCCTGGCCCTCAGGAAATCTCCACCATATTCTTTCCTATGTCCCAAGTGGTCCCTCATCTCCAGCAGGATGTCTAGCTGATGCCCCCTGCAATATGTGTCTTGAGGGTTGAGGATAGTGGCTCTGCTCTGGGTGGCACTGGTGGTGGTTTTCACATGGGTGAAGGGTCTGGGTGGGATAAGCTTGTCCAGTTTCTCCATGATTTCCTTGATTCTCAGCTCAGTCTCTGTAGGTGAAACTCCCGGATTTAGTGGCACTTTAGGACATGAGGACTTCATGATGAAATTCCAGTAATGGAAGGAGAAGGTCAACTTGAGTGCAGTCCATAATTGAAATGACATGGAATACAATAAAGAATATAGAAAACGTTTCTATTTAATGTAACAATTTTGGTAGCTCAGCCAACTTCTACCTTTTGTAGAATAATAGGAGGTACAAAAATTAAAATTAAAATGATATTGAGATTTTATTATTATATGTGTTTCATAGAGAAAAGAATTTTTCTGAAATCTGGTGGCGGAACTCCACTTTTTACTGGCTAACCTATTTTTGGATAAGCCATTTAACTCCAAAGGGCCCTAGGATCTTTTTTTTTTTTAAAGTGGTGATGACGAAATATACCTTTACTGGGCAATTGTGAAAACCAAACTGCATAGTGGAGAACAAATCTTTATTTACTTTTTTATCTTAAAACTAGAATTCAGTCATTTAAAAAAAGTTCTTAAGAAAATGTTTAAAACGTATGGAGCTTTTATGGAAAATATGATTATCTATTTTTTTCTATTCCACCTTTTACACTTGCTTAAGCATTTTATGATATTTCACAGTATTTTCAGATTGTTTTAGCTAATTTAGGAAGTAAGAAACACAGATTTATAAAAATATATTTTTTTCTAATCATAAAATAACACTGATTTATTAAAAATGAGAAAATGCTGAGACCGTAACTGTAAAAAAAATCAGTAACAATTACACCAGTCATTGATAAGTACTGTGAACATTTCGGTGATTTTCTCTCATTCTTTGTGTGCCATGTCACAGAACAAATTGAATATTTACCAAGGAATTTTGACTTTTTTCAAAAACAATATCATAAAAAACTTTCAACCGTATGTCAAAGGCCCACATAATATTTCATTCTATGGATACAGCTTATTATTTTACCTATTCCTATATTTTTGGGGATTTATTTCATTCAGCTTTTCTCTATTACTTACAATTCTGTAAAGAACAACTTTTGGTATAAACGTTTCTTTTCAATTCAGATTATTTGCTGAGAACTAAGAAGTACAATTATAGGTCAAATGTGGTGAACATTGTTAAAGGTTTTAATACGTCCTGTGAAACCATTTTCCAGAAATTTGGTGCCAATGTGCACCTAAATCAGCAGTGAATGAGAATTCTAGTCTTACTGCATGCTTGCAACACTGGGTAGCTCATTTTCAGAGATATTTGTCTGAGGTTAAAACTTGACTCTATCACTGACTAGTTAGTTATACAAACTTGATTAAGTTTCTTTATTTCTCTGTGAATCAGTTTCATCATCTAAAAATTGGGTCATAAAAGTAAACACCTTGTGTGTTACCGTGAGGATTAATGGTTAACATATGAAAAACATTTAGAATGGCACATACTAAATGTTTGTTACTATTATCTCTATTATTTGATAAATAAAAATGTTTTTATGTAAAAATTCTTCACATGCCAAATCATAAAACTAATGATATTAATCATACTTATATCTTAGAATTTCCAATAAAGGCAGAATAGTTTTTATTGAAACAATTTTCCTGCAGATAACAATGATAACTCTAAACCAAAAAAAAAAAAAAAAAAAACCTCTCTTAAAGCACTGGAGAGTGACCACAAGCAGATGCTAGAGGGGGATAGAAACTTGAAGGAAGTTACAGCACTGGACTTGCATTATAAGTATGAACTAAAATTTTCAAGCTGAAATGAAGTTATATCAAATAGAAACACAGATCTTCAAGAAGGAATGAAAAGCACCAGAAATGCTAGATATGTGAATAAATATAAAATACTGTGTGTTTATTTCCATATTTCTTTAAAATGTATGTAATTATTTGAAGTAAAAACTGATTTTGTAATAATGTGAGAACTACAGCATGAAGAACTAAATGGTTGAAAATTTATTACAGATTATGTGAAGTAGCACAATATTAACTCTGCAAGTTAAGAATGTATATTGTAATCCCTAGAGAAACCACTCTTAAAAAACAGCTTAGAGTTATAAGAACAATAGAGAAACTAAAAGGAAATACTAAAAAAAAATTCAATTAACCCAAAATAAGGCAGTAAAGGGGGAACAGAGGAACACAAAAACAGAGGGACCAAACAGAAAACAAATAGTAAAATGGTGGACCCAAATTCACTCATATTAATAATTCCATTGAAAATAAGTAGACTAAACATTCCATTAAAAGGCAGAGATAAAAAAGCAAGACTCAACTATTTGTTGCCTATGAAGAATGTAGTTTAAGTATAAAGATGGGTTGAAAATAAATGGGTGGAAAATGAAAGATCTTATAAGCACAAAATGGCAAATATTAATATTAAAGTAGACTTCAAGATAAAGGGTATCACCAGAAATAAACATGTATATTTCATAATGATAAAAGGGTCATTGTGTCAGAAAACATACCATTCATAAGTGTGTATGTGCCTATACACACATGTATTTATATGTGAAACAACAATTGAGAAAACTAAAGGGAGAACTAGAAAAATGCACAATCATAATTAGAAACTCAAAAAACTCTCTCAGTAGCTGCTACAGGAACTAGATAAAAAATGAGTAAGGATCTAGAGGATCTGAACAACATTATCATAGTAATGTCTTTTAATCATCACAGTACAGTATCAGATATTTTTAAATTGCTACAATTTCAAATAAAAATTATAAGTGATTTTTAGTATGGTGGAATAGTATTTGGTACACAAAAATTTTTGGTAGAAATATAACAGGGAAATTCTGATTAAAGATGGAGGACTAAGCACATATTATATCTTCAGTTAATCACTGTAAAATCCCGTAAGAGGCAGAGAAGAACTTTAAAAACAATTCTGGGATATAAGAAGAGGTACCTTAATTGAACCAGAACATATAAAGAATCTCCTGAAAAATGAAAAGCAGTGGAGACTAGATCCAGGAAGAAAGCCATGGCTCCAAATGCACATAGATGAGGATTCCGCAAAAGATGGAAGCCACTCCAGGGAGAGTATAAATGTGGAGAGGGCTGATAACTAAAGTAAGAGGGGCCAAAGAAGTAGCCCACTCCCTCCCTATTTTCCTACCTGTGCCTGGGCCAGGTAGCTAAAAAAGGGGACTTCTTTACTTAAGTGCAAGTAAAAACTATAGATATTTAAGTTGGAGAAGTAGGGGAGGAGCCTGTGTGCCTAACACCAGCTAAGAGACAAATGGGGAGCATATATTGCCCTTCAGTACTTAAAAAAATTTAAATTATTTTATTTTTTAACATTTTTAAAATTAAATTTATTGTGGTGACTTTTCACATCTCTACTATAAACATGCTGGAGAAAAGAGGTAATACCACTGTAGACTGGTCACTGCAGAATCTCAAGTATAAGGATGTCCATACACCAAGAAAGCAAAAATTTTATGAAAGCTGATTCATGAAAGAGAGGCATCAAGTTCACTAAAGAGAAGACATCCAAAAGAATAGAATTAATAGAAAAACAAAACTTTAGAACAAGTATACTTTCTATCCTCTGAGAGATGCTAGATGATATTGTATCCATAAACTAATGAATCAATTAAAGACTTTGGAAAGTAAAATCTTGCTGTTCAGTACACAAAATCACTTGCATTCCTCTACAACTGCATCAAGCAATTAAAAAATGTATTTAAAAGGATACTATTTACAATAGCAACAAAAAATTATAGAGTAACTGGGGATAAATCTAATAAAAGGTATATAAGACCATATGCAACAATTATAAAATTTACTGAAAGATCTTGAAGGAAACCTAAATAAATGGAGAGAGATTACATATTGCTAAACAAGAAAACAATATAAACACATCAGTTTTTCCAATTTGATCTACATGTTTAATGTAATGCACATATAATTTAAGTAGGATTTTTCATTCAATTCGACAGGCTGACTTTAAAATATGTAAGAAAGAGTAAAGGGCCAAAATTGGCCAAAAACCTTCTGAAATAGATTAAATAATGGTAACTTGACCGAGAAGTTTTCAAAAGTAATTATGAAGTTCTATTAATTATAGCAATGTGGCATTGGTACAGGGAAGACAAATTGATCAATGGAACAGAAAAATGAGCCTAGAAAGGGACCTGTTCTTAGGTGTGAGTATAAACTATAGATATTTAAGTTGGAGAATTAGGGAATTTTGATTAAAATTTTGATAAGCAACAAAAAAATGACATGATAAATCAGCATAGAAAGAACAGCAAAAAAAGGAGTCATTATCCAATATGGGAATAAAAGAAAAATCAGGAAAAAAATCCAGATACATTACAGGATTAAATATCTAAAGCAACCTTTAAAAGTTTAAGTAGAATATTGAAATAATATAGTTTAACATTGGAGTAGGGAGGGGTTTCTTAATACTCAGAAAGCATTAATTGTAAAAAAAAGGCAGAAAATTTTACTATATAAATATGAAAATATTCTGTTTAGAAGATCCCTTAAAGAAAGTGAAAAAACAAACTATACATTGGGAGAAGATAGTTGCCTTTACAAATGACAAAAGAATGTGTGTGGTACACACACACACACACACACTCACACACACACACACAATATTACCTTCTCCCATATTGCATAATGATCATCAAGTACATTGGTTCTTAGTTTGTATAAGCTGTTGGAACTCTCCTACTATAATCTATAGGTCTGGTCATTTGGATTAGAACAGGTGAAGTATCAAGTAAATATATTTTTCTAAAACACAGAAAGAAGGCAATTCCTACCTCTGTGGAGTTTTGAAAAACTATAAAAGTGATCCAGGAGGCTAATATAAACAACAGTACCAGCAGTGGTTTACGATTTGTCATACTCATTGTCATGAGTAGGATCCTACAAGAGACAATATCAAAACTAGCACAAATAAAACACAACAAAACAAAAAATCAGAAACAAAATGCAGAAATACATGAAAAGTTTATACTTTCTGATTCTTTTTGTCCTCAGATAAGTCACTCCCAGAATAGAACCTAGGCCCTCTCAGCTGCCCTTGCTGTCTCCCAGCTGCTTTCTTTGGCTGTCGGCTTATACCTTCAAAGGAAGAGCTGTTCTGAGACATAGAGTCCACTATGGACTCTTAAGAAATTGAGAAACTGAGAGCCCAAAGAATGCAGAGTTGCTCATGTCCAGGTGTAGTCTCCAGGCTACATACCACCTACCAGGTTTCCTATTTTCTTTCCTTGAACATAAAGAACAGACACAAACATCCCAGTAAATGCCGACCCTAAGAATCACATTATCCCGCTTCCCTTTTACTGTAACTTGATTTTTCCAGGTTCCTTATTACAAAGCTGTTGATATCTCTTATCCTACCAGCCTTTCTAGCACTCCTCAAGCTTGAAAGTAATTATTTTAAAACTCAGATTTCTTTCTTCATTTTAAAAAAGTTTGGGCTGTATCAATGTTTTTTTCTATGGTTATATCTACTTTCTGTCTTTGTCATGGAATTTCAAGTTATTAAGTCAGATTGCTTGAATGCTGCCCTTCTAAAATTTTCCATCTCTAAAAATTTACTCTCTTCTGGAAGCACCTCCTACACTGTATCCCCAGTTTATACATAGATATTAGAATTTTCTGCACCCAAGAACAAATGTTATCCCCACCCCGCTGGTCAATTTTGCAAATATTTTCATACCTTCAGAGTTTAAAGACTTTGTTCAATCTTCTACATTGAAACTATGTTTAGCTGGATGTTGAGGCTTTGTTCTGAAGTCACCAGTGTACTACTGGGGCACCTCCCCTCTGTGCCAAAACAAATCACAGATGTAAGTTGCAGTATGCATGCTTTTACCTTGGATCTAGAATCTTTACTTGTTTTGGCTAAGGTGAGTGTCAGGCACGCCAGGTTCACCTTGAGGAGGGGCCTGGATCACAAACTACACTTATCAAGTCAAGCAGACATGGGAAGGAAAACAAAATTCTCAGTATAGTAGATTAGATCATTTTAATGTCCTGAGACTTTATTATTCTAATTCCAGTAAGTGTACAAGAAATACCCAACACAAAAATGAGTGAATAGAGCTGGAAATTTGAATGATTGAAAGTAGACAGTCTTTCATGAAAAGCTGAACTACCTAGTTTCTATCTGAGCCTTGTCATCAAGACACAGTTGCCAGGATTTAAGTGCATACTATCTCATATATAGTGAGTCCTCAGTAAAATTTGTTGAATTGAACTGAAAGGACCTCAAATACAATGTAGGCAAGACAATGATACTGATGGAATCTCAGACTAACAGAGTGATACCTTATAGTCTTGAGTTTAAAGCCATCTGGAATTTGTATTCTTGACCTGATAGAAATGGTGTCAGAAAAAGCAGGTGCTCAGCACAAATGCCCCAGTGCCCATGGGAAGCAGCAGGTGATCATACTGTGAATCCCTCCACATTTGTGCTGTCCCACACAGGAAGTTAAAGATATTTAAACATGTCCATCAATTCTCCTAAATGTATATATACATACACATATGCACGCATATATACGACAATCAAGATCTGTTTTGCAAGGTTTTCTAAGGTTTTGGTAATCCTTCCAACATCCTTAATTTTTCTCTACCAAACTGGCCTTAACAATATTTCTTTATGTTTTTACATGATAACAGTTGGAAGCTGTTTTAAGCATGTATGACTGGGTAAGATTGCTCAATTCTGCTTTAAGGAGTCCCTAATAAAAGATTAATATTTGCAGTGGGTCTGGTTTGGTTGCTCCTTAAAACTGATGCCAGCAACTACCCAAGTTTACTGTCTGCTCAGAAACACATAAATATATGGATTTTAATATGCTTTTGTATATAGATATTAAAATTTAATATTAACCTGGTATCTTTTTATGAGATAGGCATGATGGATATGCTGACTTAAAGAATTGAGAGCACAGATGAGAGTTTAAATGATTTGTCACAGCTCACAGGTCATCCAGTGAGCTTTGAAACAGAGCTGAGAACAGGATTCCTGTCATTTTGATCTGACTCAGAACACTTTCCACTCTTACGCTTGACTCCAATACATATGGTATAACCAAGTTCAGGTAGATCCTGTGGCTCATATATTTGTTGTCTATTATTTTCAAAAGAAAGGGCTCTTTTTCACCATATTTTCCTTCAAATTGCTCAAAAGTCTGGTGTGAGCAAGATATATGGTCCTCCTTGGTGTCCTCTGTGTAGTAATGTGTGGTTTTGTTATCATCTGATTGATTAGTTCCCTTTCCTTTACATTTATGGGTCTAAATGAGGGATCTAAACATGAGAGCTCATTCAGGGGTAGAAACATGGAGCCAGGAGTTTACACAATAAAATATAAACTAGGAGATCATCAGTTTTTTGGGGGTAAGAGTAGTGCTGGCCAGGGTCTAAAAGATCCCAAGCAAAAGGGGCAGACCATCAGCATCAGGCAAAGTGAAGAGGTGATGTCAAGAGAACACTCAGTGGAGACTGAGATGCAAGTTAGGGGAATGGCGTTGTGGCCCCATGAATCAAACAAGATGCACCTCATTGCCAGAGAGGCTGCACTGGATGGTAGGAAATCTCATGCCCACGTCTGAGTACAAAGAGAGGGTCCCTGTCTCTGGAAGGATGAGAGAAGAAGCAATAGACAAGACTCAAGATTACAACAATGAGAACTTGGCATAGAACTTTTTATGTCACTAAGTAATAACGAAGGGCACAGGCTATTGCACCTTAGATATGTTAATAGAAAGAAAAAAGCCAATGATGTAGCAGGTATATGGTTAGAGAGCTCACCATGGCCCCAGATTTATAGAAGGTCATGGACACTGGGCCATTTTTAGGTATACTACAGGAAAGTGCATGAAGTTAAGAGTGACCGCCATGCCCATAGTCCTCTTTGGAAAAGGCAGTTTCAAACTCATCACTAGGGCTGCCTCATGTCCTAAAATCCCTTCCAGTTAGTTTCTCAGCAACACTTAATGATCTCTGTGAGGCATTGGAGCATGTTGGGGTATGAGAGGAAGAATTTTTTCTCACCCCCCCAACTTCTCAGACAAAATTCTAAAATGTGAGAAACTGTCAAAAGTACATAAAACAAACTACACATATTGCAAACATAAGTCATTATATTTTTATTCACTGTCAATATGAAACATGTTTGCCATGAAAGATAAAAAACAAAGCACAGGAAAACCATGAGCATCTCGTTCAAATGCACCTGACTTTGACACTTTAGCAATACTAAGAGTATGTGTCTAGGGATTTTCTTCATTAGCTAAATGAACATGTTTGTTCTGATAGTGATGTGGTTGGTTTCCTGAACGACTTTAATGGACCTCACAACCTGAACAGGAGAATATGGGCATCTGGCCATCTATTCCATTTTTGACCTAACACTGAATAGCACATTTACCTGGCTGAGACTTTGCCTCCAAGATAGAATGAGGAAGAACTTATTTTAAAAATTTGCAAGTCGTCATGCTCTTCAGCATTGACTGGAATTCCTCTCCTACCAAGAAACTTTTAGCTATATGACTGTAAGGCAAGTGTATGCCTACTTTTTTTTTTTCCTGTGAAAAACATGAACAAAATGGAGCAACTTAAATACAGATATTTTAGAATGATAATTATTCCATTTACTAATATAAATAGATACATTGTTAAGGTGCATCATTTCTCTGCATTAGAACACTGCAGTAATAATTTCTATAGGCAAAATCTGTCAGTGGATCCTAAAACTAGTGAAAGAAAGTTTAAGAGGAAAAAAGAATATTTTTCCACCAATACATTTATTAATTTAAAAGTGAAACATAGTAACTTTACAGTGGAGAAAATCTACAGACACCAGTTTACCCAAATGATCAAGGTTAATATTACTGAAAAGAAGATACATCTTTTTTTCATGAATGTTGTATTGAAAATACCCATCTGTGGTATTCTTGATGAAATTCATGACCTTAATATAAGTATGAGAAAATATTTGGATAGAACAAATTGAAGGACATTCTACAAAATAACTAATACTCTTCAAAAGTATTGTGATCATGAAAAGCAATGCAAGACTGAGCAACTTTCAGAGCTTAGAAGAGACTAAGGAGACTTGATGGCTAAATGCAATGTGGGATCTTGGATTGGGTTTTGGAACAGAAAAGGAACACTAGTGGTAAAACCGGTGAAATTTAAATAAAGTCTGTAGTTTAGTTAATAGCCGCTAATATACCAATGTTAATTTCTTGATTTTGAACATTGTGCACCGGTTATACAAGATGTTATCATTAAGTGAAGCTGGCTAAAGGATATATGAGAACTGTCTGTACTATTTTTGAAACTTTTCTATAATTATAAAATTATTTCAAAATAAAAAGTTTCGAAAACTTTCTCAAATGGAGGAAATAATATGTATCCTCATGAAATGATTTATTTTGCCCACATAATCTACCAAATAACTTATCAAATAGTAGGCTGGAGGGAGTATAGTAGCATCAGGCATCACTAGAGACTCCCAAAGGTAGTGAATAGAAACTTACATGTAAAAATGAATGAGCTAGTTCTGAACTTTAAATCCTCCATTGCTATCATTGGGTGCACTATTATCATTTTCTTTGGGACAGTAATTCATTGTGTGGGATTTTTTCATGCATTATAGCATATTTTGTATTCTCATCCCATTGCCCAAATTGCACGTAGTAATCCAACATCGTAATAGCAACCACCATTTTTCCCTCACATATTTCCAAATACCACCTTTGGTTGAGAATTTCTGGTTTAGATAGATCCCATAAGGACAGTAGTTCTTTAGAAAAGTTGTGTTTGGGTAGAGGTACAGAAAAGTCACTTGAGGTCAGTGTCACATTATGTGTGTGGCTGACAAGATGGGAAATTGTTGAGAACAGATCAAAACAAGCTCTTAGCACTAACGAACCCTTCTAAGAATTTCTGTTAACTCAATGCCAAGGGCATAAGTTAAGGCTTGGAATTTGGCCTGTTTGCCTAGGGTGATATTACTGTTGGTAGTAACAGGTAATCTCAGCAAATAAAATAATGAGACATCTGAAGAACACAACCACAATATAAGAAAGGAAAAAGTGATGGACAACATGCAGCAAAAGTTAGAATTAAGCACAATAAATATCATTAGAGAGAAATAAAGTAGAGATACTGATTGTCTGGTTGTAAAGCAGAAATAAGCAGGCATAAAGAACTAGTTGAAAATTCTTAGTCTCGATGTATAATAACTGAAATAAATAATAGTATGGTGCAAGAGTAGAATATATGCAAAAATCAAATTAGTGAGCTGGAGGATCAGGTTGAGAAACTTTCCCTGAAATTAAGAAGGAGTATAACATTGAAAGAATATGGAAGACAAGTTAAAAGATAGGCAGCAAGAAATAAAAATGACAATATCCATTTTAATAAGAATTCTAGAAGAGTAGGGTAAAAACCAAGGAAACAGAGAAACTCATTATTTTCAAGAACATGTGAATATCAAAAAAATAAATAAATAAATAAATAAAGAACACACTTGGTCACAAGAGAAATCTCAACAACTTTTAAATTCATCATTTAAATGTAAATCACAATGAAATTGCAATATATTTGACAGTGAATAACAATGAAAATCTTTATATCAATGACTTGGTGGAATGCCACCAAATTATACTGAGAGGGAATTATATAACTGTAAATGCATCTATTAAACAGTAATGAGAATTAAGATGAGCTGGATGTCCAAGTCAAGAAAAAGAAGAGCATAGTACACCTGAAGAAAGTAAAAGGAAATCATAAATATAAGAGCAGATACTAATAGGAGATAAAACAAAGAAACAATAGAAATGTTCAGCAGAATAAAAAGATAATTCTTAGAACAAAACTAAAAAGTGAGCAACTTTCTAGTAAATTTGATCAAGAGAATAAAAGAAAATATGCAAATGACTGATTTGGGGAATAAATAAAAGGTATACCACAGCTGATACCAGCAAGATTTTTGAAATCATGATAGTATACTAGAATTACTTCGTGTTAATACATTTTCAAAGTTTGAAAAAAGGAAATATTTTCAAAATATCTGACAACAAAACCCATAATCTCAGTCTAACCATGGGAAAATACCAGATGATAAAATCCCAGTTGAGGGATATTCTATATAAAATACCTGATCAGTACTTCTCAAAACTGTCTAAGTCATCAAAAACAAGGAAAGTTTGAGAAACTATTATAGCCAAAAGGAGCCTAAGAAGACATGACAACTAAACATAACATGAGATCTTGAAACAGAAAAATGGCATTAGGTAAAAATAAAAGAAATCTGAATAAAGCAATAGTCATTAGTTAATGATAACATATCAATATTGGTTCATTAATTATAACAATGTACCCAAATGTATGTGTTACTATTATAATATCTATCACATATATGCATTGTTATAGTATAAATGTACCATAACTTAAAGTGTTAATAATAAAAGAGTGCAGGGTATATGAGTACTTTCTGTGTTATCTTCTCAATTTTTCTATAATCTAAAACTGCTTTAAAAATAAAGTCTATTAAAATTTTAAAAAATGTAATTATTAAAGAATATGAATTCATTATACAAAAAAAACTCTCCAAACCTTACTGCCAATAAACAAGTTTTACCTAATTTTGACCCTATTTTACCTATATTATATAAACTATTTAAAAATAGAAAAAGGCTAAAAATTATATGAATGATTTTGTGAGAAAGTATAGGATGAAAAAATTAATTTCACCATGAAACATATGTGAATAATTTTAAATAAGTTACTAGCTAATTGAATTCTGCCATGTATGGGGGAAGTAAACCATCATGTTAGGTTTGTCCCAGAAAGACAACGATGGATATCCACTGCATTTTATCATGTGAGGATTCACTCAGAACCCCATAGTTGGAATGAAAATTATTTTAAACTGAAGGCATTTGAGATTCAACAGAAGTAAGTAGCAACCTTCTTGAAACTTTGCTTATCTGACTAAAACAGCAACTTCTGGGAAATGAGGCTACCATAATAAATCAGCCCTCTGGGGGTGTGTCATGGCCACGAAGATGGAAAGACCATTGGCAGCTACATAAAAACACATTATCACAAATTTCATTATTTCTCATTTGTTCTAAAAAACAATTTGTTTTTCCTAAAGAAACCCAGTTGTTCTTCCTACAAGAGCCTCCTCCCTTTCTTTTCCTTAATAAATTAGATGTGTAAAAGTCTAACTTTAATCACTTAACAAGACAGATACTTCTTTTGTTGACTCCCATATGCATATAAATCTTTTGCTCCTATTAATCTATATTTTGTCAGTTTAATTCACAGGGTCACTTACTGAACATAAGAGAGTAGAGGAACAGTTTTTTCCTCCCTGACAATTACATTAACATTTAGATGAAAAAAAAAATTGGTCATTTCAATTGATGCTGAAAAAAGTCAATAAAATGCAACACTCATTAATAATTTAAAAACAAAACAATGTAAAACAACCTCTTAGCAAACTGGGAATAGAAGGAAACGTGATTAGTATAATGAAAGATATTTATTAAAACCCTACATCAAATACATTACACTTACCCGTGATATTTTAGAAGAATTCACACCAAAGTTAGAGACACATTAAAATAGTTTGTCATCATGACTTTTATTCAACATTTTCCTGGAGTTGTAGCAAAAGTAAGAAGACCTAAGGAAAAAAAAAAATGAAAGAAGAGACAGAAAATGATTGTCTCTGCTGATGATATAAAAGCCTATATAGATAATCCACAAATTATTAGAAATAATGAGAATGTTGGTCAAGTTGTTCGATACAAGATTGTGAGCTGCATAATTCCCCGCCCCCCCAAAATTCATGTTCACCTGGAACCTCAGATTGTGATCTTATTTGGATATAGGGTCTTTGTAGATGTAATTAGTTAAGGATCTCAAGATAAAATCATTCTCAATTTAGGGTAGGCCCTAAATTCAATGGCTGGTGTCCTTAAAAAAGAAAAGGAGAGAGGCCATTTGAAGACAGAGGCAGAGATTGGATTTTACTATCAAAAGCCAAAAAGTGTCTGGGGCCACTAGAAGCTGAGAGGAGTAAGCCAGGATTCTTCCCTTGAGACTCTGAGGAAGTATGGTCTTGCTGATACCTTGATTTCAGATTTACAGCCTCCAAATTTGTAAGAGAATAAATTTATGTTGTTTTCAGCCACACAGTTTGTGGTACTTTGTTATGACAGCTCTACAAAATTAATTGACATAAAAAATCAACTGTATTCCTAAACAGTATTAATGACCAATTAAAAATATAAAAGTAAAAAAATCCCATATGCAGTAATATCTAAAATTAACACGGCATAAAAGAAGACATGAATAGGATAGTATGTCATGTTTATGAATAGAGAAGTTGAATATCATAAAGATTGCAATTCTCCCTCTTCAATTCTATCAGAACCCTATAAAGTAATTCTAAATACAAATGAAAGAGCAAAAGGCCAAAAATAGGTAACACGATCTGCAGAAGATGATCAAAATAAAGGGACTACACTACCCGATATCAATTTATTAAGAAGCAATTATAACTCAGACGATGTAGTATTTGCATAGCTATAAACAAATTGACCACTGAGGTAGAATAAAAAACTCATAAATCAACCCACTAAGAAATCTTGATAAATAGCAGAGTTGTCATTATAACTTGATGGAAAAAGATATACAATTTAATAAACGATTATTCATACCGAAAAAAGAAAACACCATAAAATAAGATTCCTACATCACATAATGCATGCCTGCAAATTCCAGGTTGATTCGTTTCTAAATTATAAAAAGCCAAAGTTTAAAAATTTAGGAGAAAATGTAAAAATATATTTATGACTCTGAAATCTAAAAAAATTTCTTAAAGATGAAAAAAAAAAAACCAAGGAAATAACTCACAAAAGATCACAAACTATAGAAAAAAAGTTGATAAATTTAACTATATCAAAAATTTTAACTTCAGTGCAACAGAAGATACCCTAAAATTAAGTAAAAATGTGAGATGTTAACCTAAAAATAAAAAGTCAAAGAGAGGCAACACAGTGCATTTGAGATAAAAAAAGAATTGTAGTCAAAGAGAAGTGAGAGTGTATATGCAGAAAGAAAGACGGAATTGGGGTCTTTTCTGTGGGTAGGAAAGATTTCGAAAAAAATAAATAAATAATTTTTGTTAAAAAAAAAAAAGAATTGCAATCCATAGCCATAGATTCAGACAGAATTCCAAATTATGTCCTGATTACGGGGTGAAGACAAAAGGTTTTTATGAGAAAGCGAAGGAAAATAATTAGATAAATAGAAGGAAAGAATTTCTATTGGCGATAATAGGCTAAGTTATTCTTCATTTATACATGACTGTTTATCGATTCTAAAGAATGTCTTTATTTATCAGTCATTATAGTCAGGATGTCAGCTTTCTTTTAGTGTTACAGTTTTTGTAAAAGAATTTTGGTTTGGTCTAGTCTAAAGGTAGTTTTGCCTAGTTCAAACATTAAGATTCTTAGTGTAAGATGTGCACTGTAGTTCCTCTGGAGAGGCTGGCTCTGACTCTATTTTAAAATGGCTTCACTTATGCCAACTTTTCACATTTTCCCCTTTTGATTGGTTTCTTAGAAAGCATTGCTGATCAACCATCGAAAGACAATGCTGATCAGTTAATAAAAGCCTCCTTGGTCTTCTATTGCCAGGAAGGCTCATTCCTGGTATGTTATGTCCCAAATAGGAGGGAAAGTGATTTCCTTAGGAGTCTTAGGCCACATTTGAGCATTAAGATCAGCAGAACAGAGGAAGTTTACCACCATGTTCCTTTAGGGGCAGACATCTTTTACAGTTCCTTGAGATTTTTTTATATAAAGTCTCAAGTAATGTTAATTTATTAAATAGACTTAATTAGTTTAGCATCCTCTTATTTAGAGGGGGTGGGGAGAGAGCTAGGGAAAAATCCTTTTGAAAATCTCAGTTATTTTCCAGTTAAGGAAAAGACTTTTAAAAATTTGAATTTTGAAAAGTTTGCCAAATGTATCAAAGGTTTTAAAACACTTGGCCAAATAAAGTAAGTCACTGTGAGACAATACTTAGTTATCCATTTAACCGGAATGACAGTTAAAGACTGCAGGCAAATACAGAAAGTTAAAAAGTTATAAGCAAAACTTAGTTTTTAGTTTTCTTAAGTAATCAAAAACCTGATGATGAGGAGCATGAAAATTATTTTGAAGAAGTAAAATATTTGCTTTCTTTTTATAATCTATATCAGTAGCATACCAATAGTGTGAGAAAACTTTGACCACTTTAAAGAAGGAAAAAAATTTTTTTAAAATTTTTCACCAGTTTTTTTAAATTTTAGTTTTTTAATTAGAGTTGACATTCAATATTATTTTATGTTAGTTTTAGGTGTACAGCATAGTGGTTAGACATTTATATAATTTACAAAGTGATCCCCTCAATTAGTCTAGAATCCATCTGGCTATATTCCCTATGCTAGACTTCATATCTAGGTTAATATTTTGTAACTACCAATTTGTATTTCTTAATCTCTTCATCTTTTTCACCCAGCCCCCCGAACTTCCTCCCATCTGATAATCCCAGTTTGTTCTCTGTACTATGATTCTATTTCCATTTTGTTCTTTCATTTATTTTGTTCTTTAGATTCTTCATATAAGTGAAATCATATGGTATTTGTCTTTGGCTTCTGACTTATTTCACTTAGCATAATACCCTCTCGGTCCCTCCAGGCCATGCAAAGGGTAAGATTTCATTTTAAAAAAAATGCCTGAGTATTATTCATATTATATATGCACCATTTATTCTTTATCCAATCTTCTATTGATGAACACTTAATTCGCTTCCATATCTTGACTATTGTAAATAGTGCTGCAGTGCACATAGGAGTACTTATAAATTTTTGAATTAGTGCTTTGGTTTCCTTTGGATAAATACCCAGAAGTGGAATTGCTGAGTCATAAGTTAGTTCTATTTTTAATTTTTTGAGGAAACTCCCAGTTGTTTTCCACAGTGGCATACCAATTTGCAATCCCACCAACCGCGCACAAGGGTTCCCTTTTCTCCACATCTTCGCCAACACTTGTTTTTTTACTTACTGATGATAGCAATTCTGACAGGTGTGAAGTGATATCTCATTGTGGTTTTAATTTGCCTTTCTCTGATGATTAGTGACATTGAACATCTTTTCATATGTCTATTGGTCATCCGTATGTCCTCTTTGGAGAATGTCTATTCAGGTCCTTTGCCCATTTTTTAATTGGATCGTTTTTTTTTTTGTTGTTGTTGTTGAATTGTATGAGTTCTTTATAAATTTTGAATATGAACCCCTTTTCCAATGCATTATTAGCAAATATCTTTTCCCATTCAGTGGGTTGTCTTTTCATCTTGTTGATGGTTTCCTTTGCTGTGCAAAAAGTTTTTAGTTTGATGGAGTCCCATTTATTTTTTCTTTCGTTTCCCTTTTCCAAGGAGATATATCATAAAAAATATCACTAAGAGCAATGTCAGATTTTTTTTGCCTATGTTTTCTTCTAGGAGTTTTATGGTTTTGGGTCTTACAGTTAAGCCTTTAATCCATTTTGAGTTTATTCTTGCATGTGGTGTAAGAAACTGGTCCAGTTTCGTTTTTTTTTTTTTGCATATATTTGTTCAGTTTTCTCAACACCATTTATTGAAGAGACTGTCTTTACCCCATTGTATATGCTTGCTTCCTTTGTCATAGATTAAATGACCATATTGGTATAGGTTTATTTCTGGATTCTCTGTTCTGTCCCATTAATCTGTGTCTGTATTTATGCCAGTGCCATGATGTTTTGATTAACTATAATCATAGTATAGTTTGATATCAGGTAGCATGATACCTGCAACTTTGTTCTTCTTTATCGATTGCCATGGCTATTCAGGGTGTTTTATGGTTCCATATAAATTTTAGGATTATTTGTTCTAGTTCTGTGAAAAATGCCATTGGTATTTTGGTAGGGATTGCATTGGGTCTATAGATTGCTTTGGGTAGTATGGACATTTTAACAATGTTAATTCTTCCTATTCATGAGCACTGTATATGCTTCCATTATTTGTATCTTCTTCAATTTCTTTCTTCAATGACCTATAATTTTCCAAGTATAGATTTTTTATCTTCTTGGTTATTTATTCTTAGGTATTTTATTTTTTGATGTAATTGTAAATGAGATTGTTTTCTTAATTTCTCTTTCTGATAGTTTATCATTGGTGTATAAAAATGTAACCCACTTCTGAATATTAATTTTGTATTCTGCTACTTTACTGAATTCATTTATCAGATCCCACAGTTTTTTTGATGGAATCTTTAGGGTTCTCCCTATATAGTATCATGCTATCTTCAGATAGTGACAGTTTTACTCTTTCTTTTCCAATTTGGATGGGTTTTATTTCTTTTTCTTGTTCGATTGCTGGGGCTAGGACTTCCAATACTATATTAAATAAAAGTGGTGAAAGTGGACATCCTTGTCTATTTCCTGATCTTAAGAAAAACACTTTTAGCTATTCCCCATTAAGTATGATGTTAGCTGTGGATTCATCATATATAGCCTTTATGATGTTGAGATATGTTCTCACTATTTCCACTTATA